CCTAGTTCAGTTCCCAGTGATTGGAGCTTGGAACTTTAATTATTGTTTTTTTCCTCGGGGGAGAGAAAAGGTCTATTTGCTCGTTTTCTAGTTCGACGACAAAGAAGAAAGGATACTAGCTTACCTGTCAAGCCACTTGTTCCATAAAATTGATGCTCATGCTTTGAATAACCTTTCTTTGAGAATACTGAAGTTCTGGGGATTACATTAATGAGGGTATATAACACTGTGCAAAATCCCACCTTGCAAGCAACAGGAAATTGTTTGAATTTGGGGTTGATTTGAGTCTTGTCACTGAATAGAGAAAATTTGACAAGGACTCGGCCTTCTTGACGTGCACTTTACCTATAATTCACTAATGCTTGATGGTAATGGCAGACGTTAATAATCCAGTAAAAAACAATCAGGTGGTGATTGGTCTTGGACCAAATAACACGTCAATAATACTTACCTGTGAATTGTTTAAACAAGGGCAAAACTACATTGTTCGTCAACATTAATGACCCACTTCATTAGAAATCCCTTTGTAAAATCACCTGGAGTTGCTTGCTGAGCTTGGTCATCATGGCCCACTCATGGAACACTGGCAATCGCCAAAAAAATGAACTCAAAAAAGGGAACCATTGTCAACATGAGAGTGACTCCTCTGCAAGAGGAATTGATGATGATTTTTCAGAAAAACACCTTCGCTAGAATGATATCCGTCTACTTCCAAGAAACCTCTTCGTTGAGGGTTTTGATTATGGCATTGGCCCTCTTCGGCGGATTTGATATATAATCAGCAAGTTCTCTGATAAATTCAAACTGGCAAATATCTCCACCCTTGCATCATCCTTGAAAGCATACCAAAATCTTCCAATTGAGGAAGCCAATTTGACCACTGACAACAAACTTAATATTTTGAACAAACCTAGGACCCGTGCTTCTCTATACTTTTCCCCAAATGCATGCATACAGTAGAGGATAGGCATGTGATCCATTCCCTGAAGACTCAACACTATACAATGGCGAACAGTTCGATTGAATGCAATGAGCACCACCATACTAGTCAATCACATGATTCTCCAGTTGAAATACATGATAAAGCAGCAAAGATATAGAAAAGCAAAAGGTTCTTTTCTAGTCCTTCAAGCATCATCCAATCTCTATTGAATGGACAGGGATGAACTGCTGTTAGGGAGAAAATATTTTGAATGAAGATTCCCCACTAATCAGAATCACTCTTATGACCCGTATCAGAAGGATCAAATATAAAATACGACACTGCTCCTCTGTTGAACCGGTACACAATACATACCTCGCTGATTAATGTTGACATTTAACACTCCACAGACCCTAACACAGCAGAGGCCTTTGGGCAGGCTTCTCCTTTGCAATGACGATTACGGTTTTATCTGGTGGTAAGGGTGTACTTTATTACACGGATCCCACAAAAGCAAGATCTAATATTCTACGACCAACAGATGCCAAGTCTATGTAATGAGGATAACTAGTAACCACTTACCCCTGTCATATGCCTCTGAATGAAGCTACCATATAACATCTTCGGGCTGCGTGAAACCAATTCATTTTGTTTACTTATTATCTTAGTAGAGGACAGCAAAATCAATCTTAAAGGACTCTACAAAGAAACATGCAAATAAATCTGGCTAGTCTAACCAGCATGAACGAGATATACAGAGAAAACCCACAAAGCAAAAGGCAGCAAACATAAACTAGTAGAATCTCAACCTACATAAAGCTTGTCAATTTACCCCTATAAAAACTGAGATAGAAATAGAGAGTAGAGTTGGACCGCTAATGCGCAATCAAGAAACCAAAAATTGATTGAACTGGACCATAAAGCGGAAGGATAATCTTGCTGTTTCTGAACTTTGCCAGGGTACGAACAAAAAACAACTAGACAGCTTAATTTCTGCCATCTCTCAAACACAATATATATATTGTGCAAGTGATGACTGTTCACTTTATATCCTGCCAAAATTATCTATCCATCTCAAAGTAACATAGTTTCCTTCTAGAACCGTCACAATACAAACAATCAACACAAAATGAAATAAGGATAGTCGTTCTTAAAGAAGAATGTCCACCACAATCATCACAGATCCACATTTCATGACTATTTAAGTGAAAAGGAGCGTTACAACTTAAAAAGATCACGTCAAAAAAGAATCAAAGATATGAGACAAATACTCAAACACATAGAACACACAAAAAAAAAGATGGTCAGGTCATGAAGAATGACCATTTACTAGCATTTGGTCACAGTTGGCAAGCTGATGCCCTCGCGAAAGAAAAAACAGATTGCCAATCCAGAAAAAGAAGAACCAGGATCAAGAATCACAAGAACACTCCACCGCAGTCCCAACAGGCACACATATGTCCTTGTAGAGACAAACATAAGGTGCATCACACCCCATATAAGGTCCAGTCCAAGTTGCGTCACAAATGTAGCTTGCATCCCAAATAGAAGCATACAAAAGCATGGGTTTCTCAGGGAATCCCTCCACTTCCCTTTTCTCCACTTTCCTCACCACCTTTCCATCAATCAACCACTCCATGAAACTTGGACACCACTTTATTACATACTCATGAAACGCATCAGAACAATCAAACCCCAGATCATGAATTTCTTCTCTGTTCCCAGTCCCTGCACACAATCATCAAGTCTCCTTTAAAAAACAACCACAAAAAGAACCAGTCTTGTCATTAACAATCATTACCTGAAGCGTAGTAATTAGTTTGTACGATGGTCTTGTCTTTACCAAGAAACTCAAAGTCGATCTCATCTTGGGATTTGTCACCTTCAAGAGAACAAAGATAGATGTTGAAGTTAAGGCCACTCGTGTTACCTTTGGGACATTGGATGAGAGAGCTGAAAGTGCCGTAAAGAAAGCGGGTGGTACTGCGCCACCGTGCGCCCCCACGGTGGTCGTATGTGAGAGTGATGGAATTGGACTCCGGGCAGTGAGTGCATGCCTCTGGGGTGTAGTCTATGGCGATTTGGTTAATGGGTTGGGTCTCGTGGTGGATTCCTGGATCCGCCGTTCTGTTTTCTTGGAGACGACAAATAAAGGTAAGAGACTAGAGGCGAGCGCGGGGTCTCGTGGTGGATTCCTGGATCCGCCATTCTGTTTTCTTGGAGACGGCAAATAAAGGTAAGAGGCTAGAGGCGAGCGCGAGCTGGGAGCTGGGAGCTGCCACGTAGTTAGTGTTTGTTATTGCAATATAGCGTGTTTTTAAGAGTTATTTATAATTAAAAATATATAACAATACTTTGCTGGAGCCAAGCCTATCCAGGTTTTTCGGAAGATGGCATGCCATGTTTGTTTGTGCTAACCGCGGCAGGCAATACTCTGTACCTGGAATAGGCCACGCCACGCCATGTTTTATCTTCAAACAGTAGCCAAATACATACAAGAATAAACTAAAAGGGCAGGGTCATTTGAACAGTAGCTAATGCTATACCTCGATTTGCTGTGAATTTGTGAATTGTGACAGTGAATTTATATTTTGCCTCTCTCGATCAAAAAAACAAAAACTTTGGGCTGGTTGCGGGGTAGTAAAGTCTTTTTCTTATTATTGAACGGCGTAATGACATAAATAACCTTAGATATTAAAAATTTAGGCGGGATAATTTCAAATTTTCACTCTTGCATTCACAGTTAAGTTGCTAAAATGACCTTAAGGTAAAAAAGTTTCCCATGGTTATTTTTGTCTTTTCAAATCGGTTTACTTTGATATTTATTGGTTTCTGAAGGATAGTTTAGTCTTTTAATCAAAATTATTTAATTTTTAATAAAAAAATTTATTGGTATGTTCTTACATGCGTATAAGAAACACTTAAATACTTTAAGTAGCTTTTTAATGGTATCACCTGAGCTTCCATCGTTTCCCTAATGTACCATTGCTGTATTTTGTTCTCATGATAGAGTTTGTGTTGTTGAAAAGTAGGCTACTCTTCTTTTATCTCTCGTACTTTAAAAATTACATATTGATCTTTGTTATTTTTTATATTTCTACTTCATTTTTTTAATTTATTTATTTTGTCCTTGTGTGTAATATTTTTTCCTTCAATTTAGTTTTTTAATTTCATTTTATTATATATTATATTGTTTAATTTAGTCTTTATTCTTTTATTTTTTTCTGAGTATTTTTATAAAAGTTTTATTAGTTTCAGTTCCATTTTTCAATTCAAGTTTATGGTTTTTTTTACAATTTAGTCCTTATTCTTTTAAATTTTTATTCTTTTTGTTATTGTTAGTTTCCTTTTTAATTTAAACTTTCATTCAAGATTTTAGTTTCCCTCTAATTTATTTTAATTTCTATCCTTTTTCTTTTGATTAACATTTTTTTAATTTAATATTCTTTTGTGTAGTTAATCTTTCTTTTCTTTTCATTTTTCATCGTTTAATTTTCTATGAATTATGCTTTGTTATTTTTTCATATATAATGCTTCCGATTTAATGATCAAGATCATGAGTTTGAAAAGTTAATGAAAATTTACATTCTTTTCTTTTCCTGTATCATTGTTCAATATTAGTTTATTTTTTTAAAAAAATTATCTTTGTGATTTTCTTAAAAAAAACTTTATATTAAGTTATCTTAATTTTATGATATTGACTATAAATTTGGAAAGTTAGATTAGGTTGATTTGCTTTTTATTATCTAGATTTTATATTCATCACACTATCTCATTATCTAGGTTCTACGTCCATTGCAATGCCCTGAGTTGACTTTAACTAATTTTTAAAATTTATTTTTATTAAATTTTATACTCTTATGTATTTTTTTTTAAGGTATCATAATTTTTTTTGAAAAAAATTATTTGTTAACTATAGTTATCCAATATTTTATTATCTAATTAAAATAAAAATAATTTATTAAACTTGGTTATTACTATAATCCAAATAATTGATTTTTTTAATTGTTTTTGAAAGGTATTTTCGGATCTAAATATCATTTTTCATGATAAAAAATATGGACCCGCGAGCCATGCCTTGCGTCACCAAATACACATCCAGTAGAAACAGGATACACTAAAAAACACGGTGGCAAAGCGTACAAAGAAAAGACGAGTAGAAGGAAAGGAGATAAAAAAAAATGGTGGCGTCATACATTGGTATTTCATCTCTCAATTCTTCTTGTTTTCCTCCTCGACCTTGCTTTGCTAAACGCAAACCATTTGCAGGTAAGGAATCGATTATTTAATGGCATGTTGCTTTGAATTCTGATGATGCTTATAGCATTAGTTTTTGTACTGTCAAGTATAAATCTCTACTTGATAGTTAGTTTTAATTAATTTTCTTCTGTCTGTTTTTAGTGAATACCCTTCATTACAATGTCCATGGGCTTATTTGATGCCTATAGTAACTACTGTAAAGTTTCAATTTTTGGGGTATGACTACGAGGCCTTGTAGTCCTTCGACATCAACTAGTTATTTGAGAGATACCCATTTCCATTCAGTGTTCTTGGAACAAGAAATTCACTTCTTCAGTCTCAACTTCACTTTGTTTGACCCGTGACAGTTTCAATATGCAGTTTGAAGCCATCTGACATTTTTTGTGGAGTCTTTAGTAATGTTCGTATGTCTCATTTAAACTGTAAAAGTATTTTGTTGTTGTTGTTGTCCGTTTCTAGCTTTTAGTTGAATGCCAGTAGAATATCATTATCTTGGCATTTCGAGATTTGGTACATTAGACATGTAGATATAGTTAAAATACCGGAGCTTTTATTGATTTCAACAGTAGAGAAACTCTTTTTTTGCCTGGGAGATTATGAGCCTTTCTTTCAAGAAATTATGATGTTTGTCATTATGGGAAATTCATTTGCCTTAAAAATTTCTTTATGCCACAAGTTCTTGTAGGCAGGGTTTTACTTGAATTTGTTGGTTGTACATGAGCTTTGGTTATCTACCAGTTTCAGCTGCAATGAGCGATGATCCAATCAGTGATTGGATTTTGTCAGAAGGAAATGCAACCCAGATAACACGAACTAGTCCCATTGGTGGTGGTTGTATCAACAATGCAAGGCGTTATGACACTGATGCTGGTTCTTTCTTTGTAAAAACAAACAGGTAATAAAGAAACTTGACTCTAGGTCAGTGAAATAACTTCAAAGGCTTATGCTTTTCTATTTTAACATGTCTAAAGGGATTAAAGATTTTTACTGTTCAAATACTGGATTAGGGGTATAGGACCATCCATGTTTGAGGGAGAGGCTCTTGGCCTGGGTGCCATGTATGAAACCAGAACAATCCGGGTACCTAGGCCATTTAAGGTGAGAAGGCTAAGCTTTTTCTTCTATTAGTTGCTTCTTATTGATGGAACATGTCAACTTGTATAAACTTTCACATGGCATTATGATTGGATTGTAACTACTTGCTAAGCATTGTAGGTTGGACCCCTACCAACAGGTGGATCATACATCATCATGGAGTTTATTGAATTTGGGGCATCTAGAGGCAATCAGGTGAGGGTGCAAGAAAATGGATAATTGGATGTTGGCAATAGCTCTTTACAGTTTGATGTCTGAACAGTTTCCCATTCTTCAGTCTGTTCTAGGGAGACAGCTTGCTGAAATGCATAAAGCTGGGAAATCTGAAAAAGGCTTTGGTTTTGATGTTGATAATACCATTGGCAGGTGCAACCATTCAGGAAACTGTTGTTGTCATCTTTGTCCTCTATTTTCTGATGCAATTGTCATATGCACACTGACTTTGAAATTGATAATGAATCCGGGCTCTTGCTCAATCCTAAGAAATTCATGTGCAAATTTGTAGTACTCCACAGATAAACACTTGGACATCAGACTGGATAGAGTTTTACGGAAAGCACAGATTGGGTTACCAACTTAAGTTGGCATTAGATCAATATGGTGATTCAACCATTTATCAAAAAGGTTATCTACATATCCCATCCTTGTGATAATTTATTTTATCCATTCCATGTCTTTGCTTGTGAAAAATGCAAATTTAATAGATGGCAAAATTAGCAAATGTACTGGAAAACATGATGCTGGGTATATAAGCATGAATGCATTTGGTATAGCTGTGCAATGTTGAAACTGCAATTCAGTTTGCATCACTAGAACCACAGTAGTTAAATGCTTATTCTCGTGCTTCTTGTATGCAGCATTATTTCCACGTTCCTTGTTGCATTAAGTCATTCTGAGATCTTAATTCTGTTTTCCAACCCATGAACTTTGGATTTAAAAGCATATTTTATGGGAAGACTGCCTGACCTCTCTTTTCTAAGGAGAACCTCATCATATTAAATCACTAATGTTGAATAACTCAGATATCATATGCTTGAGTGCTTCTCATCACACTTGTTATTTGGTTTCAGCATTCATAGACAAGCAAAGACTTTGATCTGTGAAACTTAAATGTCAATTGTTACTCAGTAGCTTGTGCAAGTGACATATTTTTGGGATACTTATCTGACACATTATTCACAGGAAAAAGATTGGTGGAGAACATGGCACCTCTCTTTCAAAACATTGTCATAGAGCCATGCTTACTTCATGGAGACTTGTGGAGTGGGAATATTAGCTCTGACAAGAATGGCGAGCCTGTTATACTAGACCCAGCTTGCTATTGTAAGTTAAAAATAATCTGATTGCTAAATCATTGTGTAGCAGCTGGGCTCGTATTCTTTGAAAATATCTTGCACTTGTATATATGACCGAATTATGTTTCTGCTGTAGACAATATGTAAAGAAAGAAAACACTGTTTAGATGACTCATGGCTTGAAATTCTAACCCGAGAATGTTGAGAACTGAAGTTCATGGCTTGGTTAAGTCGTTCATTATCTAGCTAAATGCATGAAGTTCATGTAGAGATTACTTTTTTAAACCACTAATTGCACGTTATTTGTTGAGTTTTATTTCAGATGGACACAATGAAGCAGAATTTGGAATGTCATGGTGTGCTGGTTTTGGAGGATCATTTTACAATGCTTATTTTGAGGTATCAATTCTTCCATAGAGATACGAGCTATATGAGTACCAAAATTATGGTTTTCTTTCATATCCAAAAAACTATCCACCTAAACATGGGGCTCAGTAACAATTGACTTTGTCCCATTGGTACACATCAATAGTGGCATGTCATGGTTATGTTTACATCCATGCCAATGTCAAGGAAATAGATGCGATACCCTGACACAACCATGCAATCCAGGCAGTCCTATATTGATCACATACGATAAGGAAAAAGTTGCATCAACATTACATTTTGAAACTAAAAAATGCTTAGAAGTGTGCTGGCCTGCTCAAATGTTCAATGGGTTGTACCCGCAGTCTTATGCAGGATCCAGTGACATTCTTGTGCATACCTTTTTTACCAGGTGATGCCCAAACAACCAGGCTTTGAGAAGAGGAGAGAGATCTATTTGCTGTATCACTACCTGAATCATTACAATCTCTTTGGTTCCAGTTATCGGTCATCAGCAATGTCAATAATAGATGATTATCTGCTAATGCTAGGAGTGTAAGAATTGTATTACACGCATGTAAGTTTGTATGATTTGAAAAATACTTGAAAGTATATGTTATGGCTTGCCAGATTGTAATTCCCTCCTCATTATTTGTAGCAAATTTGTTTACAGATGAAATGAAAAGGGAACTGGAAAACGAGGCTGTATTGAATTTGTAAAGTGAATTCAGGTCTCAACTCTAAAGCTATAGTAGACTGTGAACCGTGGTTGGAGGGTGTGTTTATTGCTTAAAAGAACCCGAACCCAGTAGAATAATGTTTTGGAGAATGGAGGATTGAAGTTCTTCATACCTCTAGAGAGGCTAATAGCTGTGCAGATGGATTGGCTAATTTAGATATTAATCTATGTCTCCAGGTATTCTGGTTGGATGTTCTATTAATACAAGACCAATACAGAGCAGGGCAGTTTAAAGTCTGCAAGTAGTCCCGTGTTCTCTTGGGCTTTTAGTGTCTGTGTTTTTATGCAGCTGTGGTAGTTTTTAAAGCAAACCGCAGATGTTAAATGTTTAGTAATGATAAAATATAGTTTGCCATTAATGTAAAATCCATTCAAATTTTGTTAAAACCTTCGTGAAAAGCAACTGAGAGTTGCTTTTCACATACCTGCGAACGGTAAAGAATTTCACTCTTTACTGTTCATTTAAGTAAAAACTCTTCATTGTGCACTTAAGTAAATAGTAGAGTGATCTTTAATGTTCATGTGACAGTAAAATATATTTGTTCGATTTAAAGTTAAATGTATTAAATTAAGTTTAATTTAGTAAAAAAAAAATTAATTTTATTTTTATTTTTATTATATTTTATTTGAAAAATTAAAAAAAATTATCTAATGATATAACATTTATAGAATTTAATTGTAATTTTAATTTTATTCTTAATGATATTTTACTTAATATTATTATACATTTAAAAAACCAAGAAAATCGTAGTCTTAGTTAATATTATTATGCACTTAAAAAACCAAGAAAATCATAGTTTGGTTAGATGAATTTTATACATACTAAAATTATAAATTAAACAATAGTTTAATAAAATAATATGAATTTTATACATAATAAAATTATAAATTAAATAATAGTTTAATAAAATAATAAAAATACTTGATATTTATATTATTTATTCTATGATATAACAAAAATAGTTAAATATATAATATTTAAATTAAAAATCATTAATATATATATATATATATATAATTTAAAAAGTATCTTTTTAACAAAATATATTAAATTTTTTTATTTCAATTTTAATTTCAATTATAGTTTTAACTAAATAAATATAAATACTAAATTAATTTTAATTAAAAATATTTTTTATAATTTTTTTAAATTATCATAATATTAAATTTATATTTAGCTATTTTTATAAAAAAAAAAATTAAATTAACTTGTGAGTATGCTTTGTGCTTTTGATTTTTAGAGGAAAGCCCCTCCCCTCCTCCCCCAAAAAAAAAGAAAAAAATCTTTCCAGATACAGTAATGCAAGGGCAACTTCAAGAACTGACTTCGAATTCTGACATCCTCAACACCTTACCAAGATTCCTAAAAACAAAGTCCAAGAAAAAAAAAAAAAAACCAACTTTCTGAACTTTCTGTTCAGGACGTCTACATAGCAAACTGACACATAAAAAGAAAAATCTTTGCTGAGAAGAAAAGGAGAGGCAACAAACATGAACACCACAACCTCCGCACCACCGCCTCTACCAGACCTGATACTATCATTAGAGCAAGCAACACTAATGGCTAAACAACTCCCATCAACAACTGACCCAACCCACCTCCTCCAAATCTATTCCTCTCTCCACCAAGCCCACCATCACCTCTCCTCCTTCCTCTCCCAAAACCACCAACTCCCTTCTTTCCCACTTCAACCCCCACCACAAGAGAACTCTCTCTCCTCGGCAACTGGAGCTGACGAGAATGGAGACGAGCCTATGCAAGTTGGAGATGATGATGAAGAGAATTCCAACAAGGTGGTGTCTATTGAGAAGGTAGAGGAGAGGATGAGAGATTGTTTTATTAAGAATAAGAGGCCTAAAAGGCCTCTTTCTCCGTCAACGGTGGCGGTGGCGGAGGAGAGGAGGATGTATGATGATGGGTTTGGGGGAGGAATTGTGGGCTTTGATCCCCGTGAGACTAGGTTGAGGGCTTTGGATCTTATCTACCAGTTTCATGGCTGATTATTATTGGGAAGAAATAGAACAGAGGAAACAGAGGGCAGAGCAGGGGAGTTTCGCTTGCATTGTCTATTTGATGAAGAGAGCTTTTGGAATGGGATGAATGATTGAGTTTCATCTGGTTGGCTATATTTTTATTTCCATCTTTCATCTTTTACTTTATTTTGAGATGCCATGGCAGTATGGCACAAACATGATGCAATTGAAATTGGATTTCAGAGGTAATGTATTGCATTATGAGTGACTCGTGTTTTTATCCCTATTCTGGGATTTGACATGCTATATAATTTTAGATTGTCATAGCATTTTCTCTGAAAAAGGATTGCTTTTTAGCCTCTGTTGCTGTGATATGAGTTCTCGAGAACATCACTTTTTGTTCAGGGAAAAACTAATGAAAACTCATTTAATTGTTACATTAAGTAATTTTCTTATATACAATCCTATCGAAGTTACACTTTTAATTTAGTCTTCCTGTTCTCTTTTGAATGGCCTTTAGAGCATTAGCTGCCTTTTCATAACGGAGAGAAGAATATGGAAAAGTTGTCATCTTGAAGAAGTCATGATCATAGCACCAAATACACACAAGGAATCACAAAGTAGTTAGTACCTTCATACTTGCATGTTTGAAGCATCCCAGTCACAATGCCGAGGCATGTGGGGTCGTTATCCATGCTTGAAAAATTATGAAGGCTGATCCAAATTGTATAAATGAGAAGCTACTCTTTGAAGTCAACAAACACACAGACCTTGCTATGGAATCAGGAACCGACATGCATAAAATGTGATAGATTTTCTTGTTAAAATTTTTATGGCCTGGCAAGATTTACACCAGTGGAGAATAAATTGAGTGGCAATGAGGCATGCAAAATGCAATTGGGACAAGGGCAATGTAGTTTTTTTAAGTTAGATTATCAGGTGAGCTCCGACTAATCCAGATTCTAGCTGGGTAGAACCACAAGGGCTGCAAAGCTCTCCCTACCAAGTATTTAACGCAGCTACATTCCCAATCCTCAAATAGAAACCCTTGATTAAGCTAGAACAGTCCCATGTCAACTGATCTATCCAGTGATAATTGCACTCCATGATTAGCAATATGCTTGTTACTAAATTTGTGTAAGATGCATACAAGGTATGTAATTTTATTCAGAATCAATTAAATGCCAACCAGAGAACAAAAGTAGAATCCTTTTGAGATCGGTAATCGAGCATTAACTATCCTGGTAGTCACATGGGAGTGATTTCATTCAACCTCGCTTTGAGAAATTCCACATGCAAAAGCATAGGGTTTTTTTTACCGATGTATCATGTATGGTAAGCTTTTATATTCCTTATTCCAAGGGAGTTTTCATACCAATGAAATAGGCATGATTTCGTCCTTCTTCCCTGTTGAGAACAGAATGAAAAAAACCCATCCTCTTCTGTTCTATGAACTTTAGGAATATGAAGCTGGACAAGTTATCATAAAGAGGGTAGCATTTCACTCTCTTGACCACACCATAAGGAGCTACAAATATCCAGTAACTTCAGTTTTTTCCCCAGACAGTAGAGATTAATTTATGCCATTGCAAACAAGAAAAGAGCAACTAAATAACAACAAACAGTCACTAATTTATCGGCATAGCAAACAAGGAAACAGCATCCAAATAACAGAGCCCTCATTGAGGTATTTTAACTACTTATTAACTGTAAAACTAAATGTCAAACTGAGAGATAATGTGTCCAGCAATTGCACCCTTTCTTTGGCTTCTGCTGCGTCAACCATGGCCAGATTCAAAGTTTTCGGGGATCTTGCTCTCCATTCTATAAAGCATCAAAGCCAATCTCGATTCCATGGCCACTTCAGAGCCTTGTGTAAGAATTCACAGAAGGATTACAAGTGGGAAAATAAAAATGACACTGGAAATACAAATAAAGATAATTATAATTACCCTACAGAAACTTAATGCATGAAGCGAGCATTTAAAAATTAGATCACAAAAATCATTAACCTACCAGAGATCATTATTAGGATTGTCAAGGAACTCATTTTTCGTCACCAAAAACTCATTCCTTGCCTCTGTTATGTTATTGGGAATGTCAGATTCATCTTCCTTCTCTGGAAGTGGTTGAGGCTGTAGCAGTGGAAACTGCAGCTGCTGCTGAGAGTTGCCCAGAAATGTTGGGCCATGAGTTCCGACATTGGAGAAAGTGGTTCCTTGATTGAGATGTTCTTCCACATTATGATTTCTTTTCTGTCCTAAACTTGCCAAGTTCCCATCATTATTAGTCCCAATTCCAGTATGACTGCAATTGGGGTAAGTATGGTCTAGCTGTTTGCTTTGTTGCCCATAGCTAGGAATCAACATGCCATCAGAGTTTGTGTTCACTCGAGTAAGAGAATGTGCAGAACCACGGGAATGCATTGACACAGGACTACAGAGATTATTCTGGATATTGTTTCTGTGTTCTGATTGAGATATTGCCATGGAGAATTGCGGGTTTGTGAATTGAGAAAACTCTCCTTGTAAATTCAAAGTCAATGAAGGATGGTGATCTCTAATCATGGTCTTCTGTGTTGCATCTTGTTCCCACTTCCAGGAAAGACGATATTTCTGAAAACATAACATTTGTAATAATTAGATGCAAATGATGCCCTTTCATAATCTTACAATGCATAAGGACTAGGTATACAGCAACATGACATTGTTCAATTATTCTGAAAAATCAACATAGCAATTGTGTCCTGCAGAGATCTCCAAAAAAAAAAGAAGAAGAAGAAATATATGCTTCAAGTATTTACATGTTGTCAGTTTGAAACAGTAAAATCCTCAGGCCAATTGTCACTCAAGTTTGAAATATCGGGCTTCAAATATTACCAACAAGTAAAGGTCCTTACACCCTAGGCATATCTAACCCTCAAACCATATACAGAGAACAAACCTGTAAATGGCTTGAAACATTTTCTTTCTTTAGCCCCGAGACATTCATGTGCTGAAGTATTTTCTTTGGATGGACACCTGCATTGATAATGAGATTTAAGTAATGTTGTACCATTATTGTCAACAGAAAAGATGGAAACAGAAAAATATTATCATACAACTTCTGTCAAGAATTTTTTACCATCAACGCCTAATATCCTGATAGCTTGCAAGAATCTGTTATGCAGCTCATTAGTCCAAACAAGCCCTGGCTTCTTTAGAACAGTCAAATTGTCATTATCTTCATCATCGCTATCTATCTCTTCTAGCTCCTTTGTTTTTCCCATTTGGTCAATCTTCCCCGTGGTACTTAAGAGTGATGGGATCCCTGCAGTCACACTTGAAGCATTCTCCTCTGCCAACCCAGCATGAAAGCTGTTCGATCCTACGCTAGATACAGTTGTCTTTTTTTTCTTTCTATATGTTAACTGCCAAAGGTTTTTTACATCATTCTTAACGATTGGCTTCATTAGATAAAGTGCAGCCCCTTTATACAGCCAGCCTAACATGGCGCTCACATTGTTATCAGCTGAAAAAACTGTGATAGAAGTAAAACCACCAAAATCAGATGTTAAAAAGTTGTATTTCTAAATAACAAGCATCTTATGGAAAAAGATGCATGGCTGAGGTTGAATCAAGAACTACTTACCGACAATGGGCAAAGAAGAAGACATTGCTCTCACTGTCTCAATGATCTCATATTGATCCATATCAGACAAGTGAGTTTCTATCAGAATAAGGTTAATTTCATCTTCTTTCTCCCATAAAATATGCAATGCATCAGTGGCTTGTGTAGCAGTTGTAACTACAGGTACAACAGTATAGCAAGTTTTATGTATAAGATTTATCAATGAAAAGTTACAGATACTTAAATTTGACCCCGTCAATATCTAAAAGCAAGTGGCTGGAGCTGGTAAGAGATTCACTTTAGCTTTTTTAGACCAAATGGAACATAAATTACCAGATTTTGCTCTTAATAGTCTTTTCCAAAGCAGGAACACGGATCAAAAAACTAGCATGTTTGGAAACGTGTCGTTATCTACAAGGAGCAACTAAATCTCAACATCTGAGAACAGGATCACAAACTCTACCTGGAATCTGAGGAAGGGATTGCCTGCAACAGCCCCAACACCCTCCACACACCCCCCCCCACCCCCAAACAACGCAACAAACCCTCTCTTTTTTCTTTTTTTTCCCTTGAACTTCATACAATGCTCTAACATAGCATACTTATTATTGAACATAGGCTCCGGTTGAGAACGTGGTACACGGGGCATTAACAAAAACCTTCCCTGCCCAGAGGCAGAGGATATATCGCATCACTCCACCACATTCCTAAATGCTAAAGGTGAGTATAACTAAACAGTAAAGCAATATTGCATCTAGTGATCAAGGATGCTGATAAAACAATCATAGTTTAAGAGTCTAGCAGAAGCGGATATAAAAAGATAACCAACTAATCCCCAGTACATACCTTCATATCCAAATGCCTGAAGCATTTTTGACACAATTCTGAGGCATGTAGGATCACTTTCCACAACCAAGATTCTAACACCTTTAGCAAATGAGCTAGCTTTATTTTTTGTAACTTCAAATGAGAGAAACTGCTCACTAGTCATGTCTGGAACAGAACCTACAGGGGAGAGAGGGACAATTTGATAGGCACAGAGAGGGAGGCTCAGATAGATATGCTTCTGCTATAAAATATAGGATGTATGCATTTATTTTGAGGTGCCTATATATAACCGATAATCAAGTACATATGGTAGCTTCCCGAGGAAAGAATCTTTGAGAAAAGACTTGTGCAGTTCTCCACGCAAAGTGAGATGATCCTGTCCGTTCATGGCGTGTGGACCCTACATTATGGATGGACAAATTTACTTCACACAAGCATAGATGGTTATTTAAAGCATTCCCTGATAGCAACAAACTTTGCCCGGATGCTGAATCCAAATCAGGAGACTCCTCAATAAATTAGTCTACAAAACTATTAAAGCATATCTGGAATAAAAGTTCAAGTGTGATAAAACAAAATGATCATAAAATTTTTTTGACAATCACTTGGGAAGATGTGCAGAGCATTCTAAAATGGCAGCACTAGCCTTGTAACTGTCAATTGAAAATTGATGGTAGTCAACACAGTTTAATTAGGTTGCCAGTATACCCCTAAGATTGCCATATATACAGAACTCCAGGTCGCTTGATGAGTTTCCTCTCTAGGAAGTGTGCACAATTTTCCATATTTAAATACATAAGAAAACCCTTATGCATTAACTTTTTATATTGCTCATACTGTCATCATATGAATGTAACCAAACATGTGATGACAGTACCCACCTATAAACGTTCAACTCAATGGTGTTTGGGATGATAACCAATGCCATTATTACTTCTCATTACAGGGAACAGAATAGAAGGGAGTGTTTTAAAGCTTATTTAATATCTTGCAATGCTCTATAATGAACCAAAATAATTGAGCTTGACTCTTGTTAGATTTGATAAAATACTCATTCACCAAGTTTGATCACAATTTCAAAGTTAAATTCTTTTTATGAAAAGTTACAACATTTAAATACTCAATTCAAAATGTTTGTAAACATAAAATATAATTTAGATGATTATCTAAAAGAGTACATAAAAACAATATTTTATTATAGCTTGGATGGAAGATAAAATATAAAATACACCTAACATGATTTTAACATTCAAGTTGAGGCTAATATATTTTGTACTTAGAAAAAAAAAATAGGTGTAATTCAAAATTATATTAACACTATTTACATTTATTTCATTTCCTATATTAGTAAACAAGCTCAAGCTTGATAAAAAAATAACAAATCAAGTTTCAGAACTATTTTAGAAGAATTCAGAGCCATCGAAAATCAGTAACAACTATTTACTTCCCCTAATATCCAGGTTCATATGAAGGTATTTGGTAATAAGAGTAGGGGAAACTACCAAACATTAGATAAGGATTACAATATGATATTTTTAGTGATTGGTGCAAGATAATACGGAAATCAGGTGTAGGTTGAGTGTTTGAAGAAATACTGATCATAACAGACTCTGTCTAGAGAGAAGAGGCCAATTGACTATCGGTTGATTACCCAATTGAAGGTCAATGTTTCCTACTAACTGGATCTTCCCATCAATATTACCGATTTGTTCTGTAACACATTATATTTAGAGCCTGGAATTGGTCACTCTGTAGTCTAAATGCGCACCTGTTAAAATGTGTTAAGCAGCAAAGCTGCCCGGTATCAATGGACTGTAAAGATAAACTGCTATATTTCCTACAAAGAGAGCGGGCTATTCTACAAATCAACAAAAAGTAGACTTATCATTCATGTACAAGAATTCTCCTCCACTTATCCAGAATAATGGTTCTAAGGCTAACAGTTTGTGTACATATTCATATCTGAAGTCCCTAAATGTCCTACTTAAACAAAAGGCTACGTCTCATAGACTTTGGTAGGTCTGAACTTGAAACCTTTCTCTTCTGTTTTGATGGCTCATCCTGTTGATTTTCAGAATTATTGGCTAGATCTCATTGTTTTGCATGAATTGCTGCCACCTTAGCAGAACGATAAAATTCTGTTATACTAAGTTGGACATGTTTTGACTTTTTTGATTCCAACTTTTCATCGGACCCTTCAGCTCTTAAGCTTGAACCCTTTCTTCTTTATGAAGCTCCATTCCTGCCAGTTTTCAACCACAAAAGTAAATAATCTGGCAGGCCCAGAGGCTAACTCATTTCCAAGATCCTTATATATAACAGGCAGCATGATAACAAACTAAACAATTTCAACGATCCACAGTCCTCGAGTTTAAACCATTTTGCACATGAAGAAAAGGACAGAGCACCCCTGATGAACTCGGGCCACCACAGGGCACGTTACCTTTTCAACTGAAACTAATATCCTTGTTTTGCTATCCTTCTTCCATCCAGAAAATCCATCTCCACCTTTTTATCTGTATCTAATGCTGTCATTTACTTCTCATATATACAATCACCTCTGAATAAACTAGTCCTTGTCCTGTCAATCATCCATTCAACATTCCCATTTGCACTATTCAGCATTTTGCACTAATAAAGTATGGACTATGATGCGATTTCTTTAAGTGTTTTAGCTAATACAAAAAAGAAATCAGGGTCAAAGAGTACATAAAACCAGTTCTCCCATTCCTACTTGCTTCTCTCCTTGGGCCATCAATCTTAAACATCTAAGATAATGGGTGCTTAGAGATTCCTGTATAAGAATTAATCTGCAGATATTAATTTATGATAATTACATTTTGAGACATGACTCTACTTCATCAAGTTTGCTAAATCACAAGGGAAAATAAGAAAATAGGGTATCCATGATTTTATAACAAAAAAAGAAGAAAAGAAACAGCAATTTGACAAAGTGAGAAGGAGAGAAGAAGAATGTGGGAAAAAATCCATACCTCCATGCCTTCTCATGCAAACAACTTTCAACTCCTTCTGAAAAAGCACAGCAAGCAAGCTCCATATTTTCATCTGTCAACATGGAGCAATACCCATCATCAATATGAATCTGGGGGCGGCATCCTCATCCAATTGATCAACTAGTTCATCAATTTCGATGATCTCTTCTTAAGGCCTGTCAGACTCTTCAATACAGTTGGTATGGATAAGACTGCATGCTATACCTGTGGCTATTCTCCACCTGATCACATAAGATTGGTGTCCGTCTTATTTTCACAGGCTGGATAGAATCAAATACACACTGCCCATACAACATGGTTTTCTAAGGCTTCGCAGAAATTTCTTGCAAATATATGGTGGACAACATGGAAGACATTCCCTGTCGAACATAAGATGGTTCCCAGTGCTGATGAAAATCCAAGAAATCAATTAGCATCTCAATGCCTGGGTTTCTCCATGATAAGCATGGGCCATCATCAGCTATACAAGAAATAATTCAGGGCTTACTAAGGGACCAGAACATAGCAGAAAAATGATGTGCATTTCAAAAAAAAAAAAATCAAACAAGTTAATACAGAAAACTGAGTCACAATAAAAGATTCAAAAAACAGAAGAAGAAGAAGCTACAAACATATCCACCTTGCTCCTACATCTAACACCATTCACACAGCCCTTGATCCCAAGGGGAAAAAAAGGGCTTTCTGAAATGTTCCAAAGGTGGAATTATACCCACACAAGAGAATTTTTTTAATATATATAATTTTAGAAAAGAAAGTCAAAATGAAAAAAGGGAAATATCATGAGATAGGTTAGATTAGACCATCTCAGTTAACAAAATTTGATATATATTACATGCAATCCACATCCTACAGCCAATACCAGTAAAGTTTCCATGATTGATGCACAAATGCATTCAAATGATATCATCATTTGAGAAGTTTGGCTCCATGGATATCTTGCTGCAAACTTTTACGCACCAATTTTCATGTTTTTGCTGCTCCTTTTCTTTTCAATCCTACCAGACAAATATCATATAATACTTTCAATAATGGCATATCAAGGCATACTACAGCTAAAAAAACTCAACAGAAGAACAGGAAAGATATGCCTCATTACAGGAGGAACAATTACACTTAGAACCCTCTGGCTTTCTTAAGCAAACCTTGAATATTACTAGTGCCACAATATTCACAGGTTTACTTGAAATGTGCTCTTTTGCTGTGTGGATGCCCACAGAAGAAACGGTGAGAAGTTTGACTTTACTAGGCTCTCATCTAGATCAAGCATTAAATCATCTACAACTTTTGAGCCAATTAGAAATGGAGTGTTCCCATTGCCAATTTCATGTAACCTGCATAGAGAACAAGTTGGATCGAGCTCAATCACAGAGCACTATTTTCAAGAACACAAAAGCAACTAAATTGGAGACAGGTATGGAAACGGACGCATCCAATATCTTGTCCTCACTGGAACTTCGGACAAAACAACAAGCTTTCTCATGCCCAAACCCTTGCACGCCATTTAGATCATGATCATTTCCAACCAAGAGAGGGATAGCTATCAAGTGTTTCCTCTTCAACCCAAGACCAGCTTCAATATATGGTAGCATTGAAATGGTTCCCGCACACAATGACATTGTTGTGTTTCAAAAGGAAGAAGCAATTTGAATTGCCTATTACATTCAGAACAATAAAAAGATCTATAAAACTACCCTGCATTGCAGTAAGTTGCAGAAATTATGATTCAGGCACTACTTCCAAGTTTACCTATAACTCACAAATAATCAGAAAATTGAATACAAGACACTTAAAGCTTACTTTGGTATTAGGCTTGAGGTTTTATCACAAACTTAGCCCCAAAAAGGAAAGCATCACTATCAGCTGTTATACAAGCATCCACATGGCCTTTGGCATTTAACTGAGCACACAGTGCTTCAGCTTCACCATTGGCTTTTTTAAACAGGCATGCCAAATAGTTCAAGCAGTTCCTACAAAAACCACTTCAGGGAATCAGTTAATTAGAAGCACTCTCCCATTAGAAGTAAAATAAACTTCATGTATGTCCAAACAAACACTGCTAAGAATGCAATTCTCAGAAACCAAATGCAGGTTCACTAATGAATATAAAAGGAAAACACATTTATAAAATTAACAGCGACTTACCGCACCCTCTCGAACACATTTCAGAAAAGTATTTTCCTCTCTACCGAAAAACCCTTTTCGCCACCAGCAAACCCGGAATATCAACCCCCGAAAACAGAAAAACCCTTGCTATTCTCGCTTGAGACTTCATTGGCGACGGAGTCTCATCAACAACAAAAACAGGAGACACTCCAAACTACCAAAAAAAAATAAAAAACCAACGTTTCAAGCTTTCTCCATACATCCAAATGAAAACAACAACCGTCTTTCAAAATCTTCAACTTTTTCACAATTTCCACTCAATCTAACCACATCATTAACCAAAAGGGCACTCATACAACGTATATCTCCAGAATAATAATAATAATAAGTATCACACTTAAGAATGATTCTTTAAGGCCGTTACTAAACCCCACAAAAAAAATATCAAAAGAGTTTCTGAAAAAAGCTCAAAACTTGGATCACAGATTGATGGTACGGAAGAAAATGAGACGGAGATGAGATTGACGGAAATGGGTTGCCTCGATAGCTGTTTCATGTTAGACTATTCATTATGAAAGATCGACTGTGATCCTTTTTCTCTCAAGAAATCGGGTCCATCATGTCGCGCATAGGGTTCTAGTAAATCCCATAATTTGCCACCAACAACCATAATTAGTATTTCTTGAATAATTTAAGTAGTTGCAAGACAATACTAAAACTGGGAGTTTGGTTTTATTAAACGGACAAAGTGTTAAGATTTTTAAATGTTTGCATGTCTTGGAAGAAGCAGAGAGTTCGAGGTTTCTATCTACCTTTTTTTTCCATTACAAGAATCTTCGTGTTCTATATATATGGATTTTTAATGGGCTCGTTTAAGTCCATATGAGTTTATCACGTTAGGAGTAGGCCAGGCCTTAGATTTTAAACAATGGTGAAGGCGAGGCCCACATCTACCTTTCATGACATTGTAAAATAGTTGGTCCGTTGTCGACAAGTTAAGCCCACAGGTGACGTGAGTGCGGTACGAAATGGTTATTTTTTAATTATCGGCACAGTTGTTGAATTTCTAAAAGAAATTATCAGCGATGTATTAAGTTGGAAAACATTTATGGTGGTAAAAAAAATCCAGAAAATATTTGAGGTTAAATAAATGATGAATTTATGAAAATACTTCACATTGGTTTTCCATGAATTATAGTTTCGGGTTGAGATATGTGGGCTTTAATATGAATTTTTGTATTTGGATCCAGATGTTGAGCTTAATTTGATATTTAATTTTTTAAAAAAAAAAAAACAAATTTCTCCTTGAACAATGAAATTTTGGATACTTAAATTAATAAATAAATAAATAAAAATAATTAATTATTAAAAAATAAAATATTGAGTATTAAACTAATGGTTACATGACAATCTAGGTGTTGAGGAAAAGATAGAGAAAAGGTGTGGGAGGATAGGGGAAAAAAGTGATAAAAGAGGAAGATTTTATCGTTTGAGCCGAGCCACAAAGGTAAAGGTGTAGCCATTTGGATCTGCCCATTTGGGTCGGGGTCCAAATAATGTGGGAAATAATGTGGGATTTATTGTTTGGTTTGGAAGCTCTAACGATAAGAATTTTTTTTAAAATAGAAAAATACTTTATAAATAAATATATTCAACATTTATTTGAAAGATATTCGTACAATCTAACCTCCTCACCACAAGCATATTATAGAAGATGAGAATTTTGGAATTTCAAAAGGTAGCCTGTTTATGGAGGATCTAGTACCAAACATGCTCGAGAGAAACCAAAATCATGATTTTAAATCGATATTGATTCAGAGAAACCAAAATCATGATTTTAAATCGACATTGATTCAAAAAAAAAAAGTCTTTGGAAAAGGTGAAACCAAGCTATAATTTAAGCATGGTACAATTAGAAGTTTGCCCTTTGAACTTTGATTTTTGTTTTTATTAAAAAAAAAACCCAGTAAGCTGAACTACTCACTCCAAATTTGATTCATGCATTCTTATTTCAAACCGCTTAGTAAATTTTATTGCTATCCATTTATAATGTCGTAATCGAAGTTATCACGAGAATCTACATGAATTAAATCCAAGTTTTTTTTTTTTTTGTAATCATTCATTTAAGGTTTAATTCAATAAGAATACGGAAATAAATTCCTATTAATGGATCAATTTGATTGTGAATGGTTTATATAAGTAAGATTATACATAAACCATTGGTCCGACGGTTATAATTCATCCAAAAGAACAAAAATAATATTAATATCATAACAAAACTCAAGAAATCACGTAACATTATTAAAGGAAGGGTGTGTGTGATATTGCTTTTTGACGAGAATGTTTGGGTCAACAGGGGCTGAACCGACACTCAGCACACCGGCTCCATCACTCGCAATCAAGACAACAGCGTTGGGCCCTTCTTTGACTGGTGTCCACGTCTCATCTGGGAGCTAGATTTTGCACGTTTTAATGGCAAATAGTAAGTGGCCGCATGCACATGTCCTTCGTTGCCTGGAAATATGTGCAAATCGGCAATTCAGATATCTGAAACAATCTGAAGATTTCCCGCATCGTGAGGCTGTTTTGTGCTGAAAAACATTTCAAACTGGGCCCTGCTAGCTAGCTAGCTGGCTCTCCCACTCATCGCACATTTGTGCCCATTCCCATGTCAGCCACTACGGACCACCGGTTCATCTGGCTGCTTCTTCGAGTACGATTGTGAGGTAGCACCAGCACGCAGTACATCGAGGGTAAAAAGCAAGAACATGCGCAAATAGTTCATTAATCGATTGGTGGCTAATGATTTGCTAGGGCTGATTCAAATTTTCTTAATGGCGAGAAAATAATACTTAAATGATGATATCATGAGAGAAATTAAGTTAAATTCTCTAATGCCCTACTCATGATATAAGAGCCAAATAATTTATAAAAAATACAATAAAAATTATAAAGTTTCAAATGTAATAACTTAATGTTAAAAATAAAAAAATAAAAAATATAATATTAAAAATACAAACTCAATCAGCTTGACTTAACTTAATAAATTCACAACCAACAACCAACAATATGAGACTAAGAATAGAAAAAATTGAATTAAAAGAATCACTTAAAAAAATATAATAAAAAAACTTTAAAAAATTCAACTTAACTCGAGTAAACTTTATTAACCAGCTATCGTAATAACCAAACAGGAAAAAAAAAATGACAAAATCCAAGGAAAATTTTTTCCATGTAAAACGATAAAATTGAAAAACAAAACTTATATAAAAAAAACATACTTCAAAAAAAAGCACTCAGCAAAATATACCAAAGTTAAATAAAAAAACTTAGTAAAAAAATACAAGCTAACTCGAGTTAGCTTTACCATCTCGCACTTAAAATAATCCATCACGTGTTGATGCATATATTTTTAAAATAATACATCACAAGATAACCCATCATGTATTTTTTTAAATAATAATTAATAAAATATGCTTAAGGATAATAATTAAATGACAAAGGATAAAATAAAAAAATAAAAAAAAATTCAAGTCAACTCAATTAACTTATGATCTGAGATATAAGTCAAGGATGGAAAACAAATTAAGAAGTTCAAGACCTAATAATTCAATTCAATATTAAATAATAAAAAAGACCATATAAAAGATCAAACTTAAACAAAGTTTATTATTAAAACTAGTGGATAGAGTTATAAAATTGAAATTACACCGTAAAAGATAAACATGAAAAAATCATAAAGAAAAAATTTCAAATTATAAAAAAAATAAAAATTGAAATAACTAAAATTAAAATAATAAAGACTAAATAAATAAATAAAAATAATAAAAAAATAAAAAGCAAAATTAAAAACCATAACATAACTGAATTTATAAAAGCTACACATGAATATTGGGACTTGGGAGACAGAACAAAAAAGGGAAGGAGGAAAAAGACCACTCAGTCGTCACCGAACCAACCATGCACCACTTCGATGACAAAACCCGCCACCTTTGGGAGTTGGATTTTGCATGTTCTAATGGTTAGTAGCAAGTGGCCACATGCACATGCCCTCCATGACTGGCAATATGGGCAAATCGACAATTCGGATATCTGTAACAATCTGAAGATTTCCCGTATCATAATTCTGTTTTGTTCTGAAACACATTTCAAACCAGGCCCTGCTAGCTAGCTCTCCCACTCTTCGCACATCTGTGCCCATTCCCAAGTCAGCCACTACAGACCACCAGTTGGTTCATCTGGCTGCTTTTTCGAGTTCGATTGTGTGGTGGCTCCAGCACGCAGCGGGACATCTAGGGTAAAAAGCAAGAACATCCACAAATAGTTCACTATTGGGTGTTAACCCATCCTTTTGTTTTTTGTTTGCTGAGAAGGCCGACGGAGTTTGAGCTGTGCGACGGCTGGCTAATAGCCTTCTTCCGGTACTCGGGTGGTTAACAAGTTTGTTCTCTCTGAATTTAAATGGTCCAGAGAAATGATAAAAGGAGTAAAGCCAGATTCTTAGATTCGAATTGGGCTGGATTACTAGCTTATAAGATGAGATTAATAACAAGGATTATCTTAGAAGATCACCAAAATGATATAAACCAAATCTCCCTTAGCTTTCTCCAGCAATTAACTTGTTATCAAGCATAAAGTGGCAGCCCGCACGTAATCCTTCTTCTTTACATATTATTTGTTTGTTTTTTCACGAACAAAAGGCAAATCGAGTTCGGGTTGAATCATCGTGAGTGTGTATCAATTGATTCCCAACAGCTCCAAGAAAAAATGACGGAAAATAAAGTTTTTATAAATATGTAAATTTGAAAATGATTTATATTTTTAAATTGTGTGGGGAAAAAGAGTTGTGTGCAATTACATTACATTATAAGAATCTAAAAGATCAAGGTGAAGAATACATTATTCACCACCTCACATAATAGTATTCAATCGAGCAATTTCTTGGGAATTTTTTATGGGTCATTTATTTTTTTAATTTTTTTCTTCTATGTTTTGTTAATTAAAAATAAATTTTTATAATGTATTGCTTTCCTATAAAAATTTATTTTTATAATCATATAATTAAATAAAATATAGTTTAAAAAAACAAGGTTCTTGATCTCATTCAATCCTACGTCACGAGTTTAACAAAATAAACTATATAAATCCAAGATTTTTTCATCTTATTAATTTTAAAAAATAAAGATTTGTCTTGAATCTTTTTAAGTAAAATTGATTTTTTACTGGTCATACAGGTTGCCCTTGAGCTCTTTAAGTTGATTAACTCATACAATATAATTTAATTTAAAATCCGACCTAGATAAGAAATAGGGTCTCGAGGTTTAATTTAAAACATGATAAAAAAATTAAATATAAATTAATTTTAGTCATCAACTTTTTTTATAAATGGATCTTTGAATTTATAATTGAAGTTGCTACCAAAATATTGGTTACAATACCAATAGTATCATATAAATTCATGATAAAATTTATGTTACTCTATTTTTAATGCTTGCATATTTATCTGATATCATATATATATATATATTTGTTCTATCACCGGTAATACATTGCTATAAGTAAAGTAAAAAAAAAGTCTCCAATTGCTATAAGTAAAGTAAAAAAAAAGTCTCCAATTGCTATAAGTAAAGTAAAAAAAAAGTCTCCAATTGCTATAAGTAAAGTAAAAAAAAAGTCTCCAATTGCTATAAGTAAAGTAAAAAAAAGTCTCCAATTGTAATCATTTTCTTTACCAATAATTACAAAAACCAAAAGAAATGTTTTATAAAAAAAATATAATCAATAACTTTCTATCATATCGCCTAATAAATATGTGCCTTCAATATTAATTAGTGATCTATAATATTTGAATCTTCAATATATAAGACAGAATGATTAAAAAACTCTTTTAATTACAATTGTATTATTATTAAGATTTTTTTGTGCTTCCAATAAACAAACATTATAGGATTTGATTTTTTTACTACAAAAAACAATCTTGGTAATTTTTCAAATGAATTTTTATATGAACTAAATAAATATTTAAACACCTTTTATTTAGCAACTCATGTTATGTTATATGATATTTTATATTTGCAATATAATTTTATTTCTTCTTGAATGTTTATGACCATCATTGAATGATTATTTATTAAAAGTGTTGAAATAACATTAACAACAAAACTTTTATCAAGTTGATAATGGTTTTTTGGATAAATGTTAAGGTATAGACATGTGTTCCTTTTAACTTTTCTAACTCATGTGAATTTAACTTTTTTATGGTATCTCTTGTGTAAATATAACTTACATTCCAATATTTATGTACATTGTAATTGAACAAATATCAAGATCAATCGTTGCACTCCATACTAGATCAAATATGCATATATCACCATTTAATTATATTAATTAAATTATTTTCATTGTTGAATGTTTGTCTAACTTTTAAATCTCCAAACCAGAGCTTCCAAACAAATTTTTATGACTAAGCTACCAATCATGGGAAACAACAACTTTCCCAGCAACTGCATATAATTTATTGAATTCAACTTCATGCTCATTTACATAAAATCACCAAGCTTAAGTTATAATATTTATAGCTACTTTCAACCAATTCACACAAAATCTCAAATTTGATAACTTATCTGAAATTTAACACAACATTTAATTCATTAAAATTCAACCTAATTGATGTTATTTTCATGCTTAAGTACATTAACTTAATCAATTCTAAATGATAACATTTATAATTATTTTATCAATAACTTAACAACTCCTAAATTTACTTAAACCCTTAATAACAACAATAATTTTATTTCAACTAAACTAAATACAAATCAAATATAAAATTCATATAATTAATAATTTTATTTTGCTTGTAGGACTAAAAAGTGTTCGATTGCCAGTGACAACAACAATAATAGCTACTGGTAATTTTTTAAAGGAAAACATCCTAAGAGATTTAGAGAATAAGATGAATTCGAGTTTTTGGTTTTTAAAAACAAGTGTAATTCGTGAGTTTGTTTTGAAAAAAGAGAGAGGTTGCTGGCATTGTTTTTAGATAGAGAGAGAGAGAGGGAGAGAGTATGCATTTATGTTGATTGATTTGGATAAAAAATTAAATTTTATAATATATCAGAAAAGGTAACATGTTAAGCTGTCGCAATTTATATGAAAGCAACATAATAATGATTAAAATTCATTGAATATTACGTTTCAAGCCTACAAGCTAAAACTGTGTTATTTTACCGAAACTTTCTTAAAATTAATGCGTTGTTTACTTAAATGTTGGTTTCAGTGTGCTAATGTAAAAATGGTAGACATAAATCACGAGATCGATCAGTGGTCCTTGTAGGCTCCAGGGGCTGCATGCATGTGATCCAAGTCGTTAGAAAGGAGACAAGGAACACAGTCTTGACAATTAGGACTTAGTTGCGAAAATGATTCTCTTTAATTACGATCTGATATTCGAATCAAATCACAGGCTTCTCCCTAACTAACGACATGCCTCAAGTACAAGATACTGGAAATACATTAATTAACCTTACCCTCTCAAAGATTTTATTACCACAACAGTCTATGATATTACCCCTTCGAATCAAATCACAGGCTTCTCCCTAACCAACGACATGCCTCAAGTACAAGATACCGGAAATACATTAATTAATCTTACCCTCTCAAAGATTTTATTACCACATCAGTCTATGATATTACCCCTTGAAAAAAAAAACCATAAAACAGAAGCTTCCACGCTTCTACATTTTTTTTTTTTGGTCACTCGCACCCATTTTATTACCACTGACTTACATGAGCTTATCCATTTGCACGAGCTTCTTACCTGGAAACCCCCACCAGCTAGAGGTTACCTCCCCCTTTCTTGTTTTTAGCCTTTAAAAACCCTCCCCCCCCACTCACTTCCCACTTCACTGTCATTTCTAGCAAATTTTCTACTTCTACTCCTGCTTCCGCTCCCTCTTCTCACTCTCACTAGCTAGCTTGCTCTATAAGTCTATTTTTCTAACTCGTTGATCTCGTCTCTCTTGTGCTTTCCAAAACATGGGTTCTTTCTATAATTCATATTCAAACACAAGTTATAGTCAAAGAAACCATTTTTCAGTAGAGCGCAGGCCTAAGATGCTCAAAGAGTTTCTCATAGATGATTCATATTCATGTTCCTCATGGGGGTTCGAATCATTTTCAAGAAAGCCATGCGATTCCACCATGAAAACCCTTATCGAAATTGATATTTATAATCCAAGAAACGTTGCTAATCCTAGCAACAATATTGCAAGTTACAAGCTGCTTAAAAGTCGTTCAAAAGCAGTAGCCTCAACAACAATCTCAGCTTTTCAAGCCATGATGAACGCCGTCAAGAACGTGCATTTCATTGCCGTTAAGTCTCCCTCACTTTTACCAAGGAGTCTCTCCCGGAGACTATCAAAAAAGAAGTGTCAAAACAAGGAGAATGAAGTCAAAATGACAATCCTGGTAAAAGACATTATACGGTGGAAATCGTTTCGTGACATTGTCGAAGAGAAAGCTCCACCATCGGATTTGCCATCATCACCCCATCATTGCACCACGACCACAACCAGGTCCACTTCTACCACCCCACGTAGCGGGTCAAGTTGGTGCGATAGTGATTTCAACTCGGATTATTTGCCGTCTTGGAACGGTAATTTTGACGAGTGTGTTGAAAATGAGGTAGGAGCGGGTAAGAAATTCTTACCATGTGTCGGCGAGGATTCTTTGCAGGCGACAACAGAGGCAAGAATATATACAAAAGTGGGTCCCAAGGTAAGATTATATAGTGGATCGCATCTTTACAAAAATTTGTGTGTCTGCTGTTTTTATTTAACCAGCGGCGAGAAAGTGTCTTTTAGTGGCTCGTGTTTTAACCTTGTCGGTTTCCATAGCTAGGCCTAGGAGCGTGTAATTTAGTGTCGAATCACATAGGACAAAAGAGAAGTCTGTTCATTGTCCCTTTGTCCAATGAGATTAGCTAGACCTCTAGTTAAGGGCGCATCGGCACAATTTTTTTTAAGAAGCTGCTAGGGTTAGCTGGGAATCAAACATTCATTTCATGCCAGTGCCATCAAAATATATATTACATCTAGATTTATCAACATGGAAAATGCTAGGAACATAATATTAATGGAGCCTAAGATATGCTTAATGTATGCAACATGCCCTTTATTGCTTTACTCTAATATGTGATTGAATGTTTAATTAATGGCTTTCTTGGACATGGGTTGACAATGAGAACACCGATGAATCTTGTATCCAATCACTCGGCTTGTATGTAAACAATTTTAGGTGATTGTTCATGCTAGAGAAAAGTTCGTTGTGTTTAAGATTTATATAAACTGCAAATGTGTTTCAAATGTCTCTGTAATGATGTCTATGGTATATCCTGTGTTTGTTTTGCTATGTAAATTGATCTAATTTGGAGCGATGTAAAATGACAGGAGGACGAGGAGGAACAACAGCATACTCCTGTTTCAGTAATTGAGTTCCATTTTGAAGAAGATGAAGAGTCAAGCTCGTCTTTTCATCAAAGCCTTGCCACTTTGGATAGTATGTTCCCTTCTGGCTTAATTCCTACTCCATCATGCACAATTTTTTAGCACTGCAAGCATAAATGAGGCGGCGTTAATTCATTAAATTAATAAGAAAATATGAGGCTTCATTAATTAGTGCTGATGGTTCTTTTCCTGTATATGATGGTAGAATGTTTCTAAGACGTCCACGAAATGCAGGGACTAGAGAAAAGATTATGGAAAAGATCCGAAGATCTGAGAGTGTAGCCAAACTGGTACCTGTCAACCTCGATAAATGGATGACAATGGACGAAAACGTTAGCTCTGGAGAAGATGATGACGATGACGAAGACAGCGATGATCTTGAAGGAATAAGAGAAACAAATATGATCAAGGACGAAGAAGAGGAAGAAATTAACAACGTCGAAGTAAAGGCATGGAAGCTATTGAACCATGTCAAAGAAACTGGTGTGGAATGTTGCAACGACAACGTAGACCTACTATTGAACTTCTTTAGAGATGAATTGGCTACAAGGAGACATGAGACTAGAAAAAATGGGATTGATGTGGAATTACTGAATAAGGCAAAAGCTTGGATAAATGGGGAAGACAGGTTATGGGTTGGATGGGAGATAGTGAATAAAAGGGAGGATTATGTTAGAGAAATGGACAGGGAAGGCAGATGGAAAAAGTTTGAGGAAGAACAACAAGAGCTTGCTTTGGAAATTGAGAACGGAGTGCTTCGTCTTTTGGTTGATGACTTGCTGCTTGATCTCATCTCTTGCTGATGATGATTGATTAGAAGCAACAGAAGTGTATATCTAGCTAATCTTAGAATCACCCATTATACTGAAAATGCACTGAAATTATTCCTTAAATGACATAACTCATGCTCATTGTTTTGGGATATTTCTAGCGTTAGCCTATAATGAAATTTTGTAGGAGGAAATAATAAAAAAAATAGTGGTGTTACTGTGTGTTAGCACTTATTTTTCTTGGCAAGGACCAAGAGGTCAGAATATTGTCCGTTCAATATTTTTCTTCTGTAAATACACAAAGTCTCGTTGTTCTTGTTCATTTCCTGTCTCATACAACAACTCAACACTTCGAACGGAAAAGGCCTCGGCTTGAATTGTATTTTTTTTTACAGTTATAAAGACATGGCTCAACACCGAGACCTTTAGGAGAAGACCATGGGTGCAGGCTTATTAGCAGCTTGAAAAATGGTGAAATGCAGCAGTCACAAGAATTAGCACGGGCCTTTAGATTCCACAGTGTGTGGGCTGTCCAAGTTAATGGGATGTCTTCTTCGCTAAAGGGCCACGTTAACGTTAACGTTAACCTTAACCCACCCATTTCTTTGCCAGCACGGTTTATCAGTTACCATTCATGTATTTAATTTAACAGTGAATATATATATATATCTTTTGTTTCGTCTTTGAACACCGGAAGCCAAGGCCACAGCAAGGTCAATACAAGTGAAAAACTGAGGCATGTTAATTAGCGTATTTTATTTTTTATTTTTTATTTACGTGGGGTGTCCGGGCCAGTTTACGCGCATCACGACTAATCCCCACGGCCCACTGAATATCCTGCAAGCCCAGTGAGCAGGTAAGGCACCGCGGGGGTGACAGGCGTGCATGGTAAGGTTCGAACCCAGGTGCAGAGGAAGAGGACAAGCCCCTCCCACCGCTAGACCAGAAACTCACTTGCAAATTAGCGTATCTTTGATTGTTAGAGTTATGAAAAACTGAGGCATGTTAATTAGCGTATCTTTGATTGTTAGAGTTCTGAACCCTCCAAAAAAGAAAAGAAAAAATCTTAAGACTTTGACCTTAGGAGAAATTATATATTACTACTCCATTAGCTCATCTAACTTGATATGATTACGGTGATTAAGCCTAATCAAATTACTTTTTGTATCATTAAGCGGTTAGAAATTTCTGTATCCCTCGAAACAAACTCAAACATGGTTCATAGTGCCGTTTTCCTAATTGCTTGGACAAGACTGGCTCATGCCAAATACAACAGAATCATCGTTCTGTAATCTTCAATTGCGAAAGACAGTTAAATGAAGTTGAACATTCTGTAAGGGTATTAAGAATTTGACTCCTTCTACGATAAGGAGCCTCTAAAATGTAGTGTTATTTGTCAATGGAGTCTGAAAATTGGTGCCAGGCCCATTGCCAATATATTGAATCTTTACTATAATCAACCACTTGAATTTTCAACTAGAATTAATAAATTAAGGCAAGAAAATGACTGCAGTGGCTCATATTTTCTTGGTATAAATTAAGGTTAATATCCAAATTGATAAAATATATTATTATTTTAATATTTTTATTAAATATCTATTTTTTAATTTTATTTTTCTCTACCTAGGAAAACATTAGCAACAAATTAGATAATTTTTTTCCTATTAAAAACAATTGATCAAAATCACAATATAACAGAAGCAAATAAACTAGTTAAAACTGAAGAGGGAAAGGAAGTTACTATGCCTTAAAGAAAACAAATATAATCAATTGTAATAGTGGAATGCTAAAATTGCTCCTTAACTATTAAACTTTTGAACTAGTGATTGAGGGTAAGATAATCTTTTCATCATAACAATTGTCTTTTACAAGAATATATTAATCATTTTATTTTTTATTGATGGTAAAATTACTAATTTAACTCCATAATAAAAAAATATAATGCATAATACTCAAGGGCATTTTTATCTTTTTCTTTATTTTTAAAAAGTGGTGTAATTATTTCGATGTTTTTAAAAACAAATTCAACATAACTCTTTCACAAGAACATTGCTTTTATTTTAAATTTAAAGATTATTCAAAGATATTATTATAATTTATATATAAATTAAATATTATTAAAAAAATTATAGTGTTGGGTGCATAGCACGTTAGAGGCACTTGGACAATCCTGTGCCATGTAAAAAATGTATTTTAAGGTTGTCTAATTATCAAATATCTCCTTCTAAAAATGATGCATGGAATGTCTTTGCACGACTCTTTAAGCAATAGGGTGTCTTTTAGTTTGAGATCGACGATCATTTTATTTTTTTCTTTTCTCTTTTCTACTTGAATTAGCGCCAACCTTTTTAAAATTTCATACCAACCTTTTCAATTTTTTCTTCTCCATACTTAGTACATGTTCTTTTAATTACTATTTTTTTATTTTAAATAAGCTATAAAATTATAAATATTTTTTAATTTCACCCATTTTTTTAATATTTTAAAGTTGATCATCATTGATTTGATTGCTATTTTATTTGCAATAATTTTTTAGATTATTTTTTTCTTACAAGTTCATCCTCTATAAGGTATTTTTCTATCAAATTTGATTCTTATTTTTTTATTATTATTATATTTTTTACTTTGATAAGTTTTTAAAATTGATTTTTTTTTTATGATTTTATCATTCAAAATTATATTGGTTGGGAATTAAGTTTCTTGATTAAACCAGAATTCATAATTTCACGAGTTGCGAGTTTTAGAGAATAAATCAGGTTTAGAAGATTTCTCAAATTAACATGTC